TTTCAGTTCCGGTCCAGATGTTTTGTTTTGGTCCAGATGTTTCAGTTCCGGTCCAGATGTTTTGTTTTGTCCCAGATGTTTCCGTTTCGGTCCAGATGTTTCGTTTTGTTCCAGATGTTTCAGTTCCGGTCCAGATGTTTTGTTTTGTTCCAGATGTTTCAGTTCCGGTCCAGATGTTTTGTTTTGTTCCAGATGTTTCAGTTCCGGTCCAGATGTTTTGTTTTGGTCCAGATGTTTCACTTCTGGTCCACATGTTTCTGTCTGACTCCAGATGTGAGGAAGTGCCTTGCTCAGAGGCAGGTTGCTCTTTGTTGTGTTTCTGTATTTATTGTATAATTTATACATATTTTGCTGTTGTTGTTTGTTGTTGTTGCGCCCCCTGCAGGTGCTGCCTGTAAATACAAACACTCCAGAAAAATAAACTCACTGCAGAAACTCTCTTTGTTCTTCTTGTTTTGCTTCTGGCAGCAGAATCTCTGGTTTCACACCAGCAGCTTTAATACATGTTTAGATGAATTAAAATATTAAATAAAAGATGATTTTATTTGTAAATCAGCTTTATGTGGGCTCAGTTTTCCCTGCAGCTTGTCTCACAGGATGTTTGTTCTCCACTGATAAACAGGAGTTTCAGAACCAAGCTGCTGTCCTTCCTCTTCATCAGAGGCTGCAGTGACCTTTGATCTTCTAACTCAGTCTTCTCTTGTGCTCTGCTGCTGTGTGTCAATATTTGAGCTGTGGTTAAACATCAGCCCATCAGCTGGACCTCTGTCCTTCTGTCCCTCGTCCTCCCTGCAAACAGAMGCTGGAGGACAGAAGACGGACATGTTGTCCACAACGTTGACTCTGAGCGCTCTGCTGACCTGCTGCTCGCTGATCCAATGTTCAGGTGAGACTCATCATCTCAGGTTGATCCTCTAAAGGAGACCAGCTGTGGTGGTTCAGAACCCAGACCAGGTCCGGTTCAGACCCACAGATCAGAACTTTCAGTAAAGATTACAGAGAGCAGGATCCTGAGGGACGACTCRGTTTTGTTTTCTCCCAGTGTTCGTGGACAGACCCACTGCTGCGCAGCTGCTGCGCTCCTCCAGCAGGAGGCGCCGTGCCAACTCCTTCTCCCTGGAGGAGCTCCTGCCAGGAGACCTGGAGAGGGAGTGCTACGAGGAGCACTGCTCCAAGGAGGAGGCCACCGAGATCTTCCAGACCCACGAGACCACGGTACAAAAACCCAGCAGGGTCACATAGAGGTCTGGGGCCCAGCAGGAGGTCTAAGGRAGGACCTAGGTCCTCTAGGAGGGCACACTGTGGTCTGAGTCTCCAAAATCTGAAATATTTTTTATCAAGATAAATCTGGTTCAGTCTTCATCAAAACCATGTTAGATCAATAAGGATCTGATTAAACCAGGTTAAACCATCTTAGACCTGCTAGGAATGGACCAGTTTGGACCAGAAAACCTGAACTTTTGAGTGTTTTCAGAACTGCTGATTTGTGACATTTTCATCCACAGATGGAGTTTTGGTTCCGATACATAAGTAAGTTGAATCATCATCAGCATCACTGATGACATCACTCCAGCTGATGACATCATCGTCTCTGTGAAGATGAGCCGTGTTCAGGGGTCTCTCCTGTGTGTCGTAGATCTGAACCCCTGTCGCACAAACCCATGTCTGAACGGAGGCATCTGCACTCTGGACCGAGAAGACTTCCTGTGTCTCTGTCCTCCCACCTACAAGGGCAAGACCTGCGACACAGGTAAACATCACCTGAGAMTCAGGTAATACAGCTGTGGTCAGAAGGTTCCATCATCTCATCGTGGCCATGAAGGTCAGATCCATTTTGATTAACTTTATTGAATCATTTTTTTTCCAGAGTGGAATGATTACACAGCATCAGAGGTAGAGAAGCTTCTAGAAGGTCTTTTAACTTGACAAGGCCTATCAACTTCCTGTTAGTAACCATGATTGACTACAGCACTAGTTTACATTTAGCAGCTGTTATAGATCTGTTTGACCATTAGTGGAAGAAACCAACTAGTTTTAATGAACTCTAACAAGAACAAGAACCAGAATTCTGACAGAACCTTGTTGATGGAGATAAAACACCTGAGGTTCAGATGAAACTTACCTGAGTCACTTGATTTTTAAACCCACTGTCATGTTGTAGAATATCCATCCATCCATCCATCCTTTCATCCATCTTCTGTCGCTTATCCGGGGTCAGGTCTCGGGGGCAGCAGCCTAAGCAGAGAGACCCAGACTTCCCCCTCTCCAGCCACTTGGACCAGCTCCTCTGGGGGAATCACAAGGTGTTCCCAGACCAGCTGAGAAACATAGTCCCTCCAGTGTGTCCTGAGTCTTCCTCTGGGTCTCCTCCCAGTGGGACGTGTCCAGAACACTTCACCAGGGAGGAGTCCAGGAGGCATCCTAACCAGATGAACCACCTCAACTGGCTCCTCTGGACGTGGAGGAGCAGCGGCTCTACTCTGAGTCCCTCCTGGATGACTGAGCTTCTCAGCCTATCTCTAAGGGAGAGCCCAGACACCCTGCAGAGGAAACTCATTTCAGCTGCTTGGATCTGTGATCTCATTCTTTCAGTCACTACCCAAAGCTCCTGACCATAGATGAGGGTAGGAACGTAGACCAAATGGCAAATTGAGAGTTTCACCTTCTGGCTCAGTTCTCGACAGACCGGTATAACGCCCGCATCAATGCAGACACAGCACCAATCCGCCTGTTGATCTCCCGCTCCATTCTTCCCTCATTCATGAACAAGATCTTGAGATACTTAAACTCCTCCACTTGGGACAGGACCTCCTCCCTGACCCGGAGAAGGCACCCTACTCTTTTCCAGCTCAAGACCATGGTCTGGGATTTGGAGGCACTGATCCTCACCCCGGCCGCTTCACACTTGGCTGTGAAGCGCTCCAGTGAGAACTGGAGATCAGGATCTGATGAAGCCAATAGGATCACATTATCCACAAAAAGCAGGGATGTGATCCTAATGTCACCGAAAAGRATCCCCTCAACACCTTGGCTGCTCCTAGAAATTCTGTCCATAAAAGTTATGAACAGAATCTGTGACAAAGGGCAACCTTTGTGGAGTCCAACTCTCACCAGAAAAAAGCCCGACTTACTGCTGGCAACACGTGTAGACTGGTTGGGCGAACTCCCATGCACTCTCCAGGACCCTGCTGAGGGTGTAGAGCTGGTCCAGTGTTCCACGACCAGGACCAAAACCACACTGCTCTTCCTGAAKCCGAGATTCGACTATCCCACAGACCCTCCTTTCCAGAACCCCTGAACAGACTTTACCCGGGAGGCTTAGAAGTGTGAACCCCCTATAGTTGGAACACACTCTACAGTCCCCCTTTTTAAATAGGGGGACCACCACCCCGGTCTGCTAATCCAGGGGGACTGCCCCTGATGTCCACGTGATATTGTAAAGTCGCTTCAACCAACACAACCCCACAACATCCAGGGCCTAAACGAACTCTTGGTGAATCTCATCCACCCCCGGCGCCCTGCCATCGAGGAGCTTTTTAACCACCTCGGTAACCTCAGCAGCAGAGATTGGAGGGTCCGACCCAGGGTCCTCAGGCTCTTCTTCCTCATGGGAAGACGTTTCGGTAGGATTGAGGAGGTCTTCGAAGGATTCTGCCCACCGACCCACAATGTCCTGAGTTGAGGTCAGCAGCTCACCATCCCCACCATAAATAGTGTTGGTGGTGTACCGCTTCTCCCCCTGAGATGCCGGATGGTGGACCAGAATCGCCTCTTCGAACTCCTCCCATGCTAGAGTTTTCACCTCAGCGACCACCCGAGCCGCAATCTGCTTGGATTGCTGATACCTATCAGCTGCTTCTGGACTCCCACAGGCCAAAAAGACCCGATAGGACTCCTTCTTCAGCCTGACAGCATCCCTCACTGCCGGTGTCCACCAGTGGGTTCGAGGGTTGCYATCATGACAGGTACCAAYAACCATACRGCCACAGTTTAGGTAAGATGCTTTGACAATGGAGGCACAGAACATGGCCCACTCGGACTCATTGTCCCCCACCTCCCCCGGAATGTGTTCAAAGTTCCCCTGGAGGTGTGAGTTGAAGCTCCGTCTGACGGGAGACTCTGCCAGATGTTCCCAGCAGACCCTCATTATACGTCTGGGTCTGACCGGCGTCCTCCCCCACCAAYGGAGCCAACTCACCACCAGGTAGTGGTCAGTTGACAGCTCTGCCCCTCTCTTCACCAGAGTGTCCAAAACATGTGGCCGCACATCATTTGAAACGACAACAAAGTCGATCATCGAGCTGCAGCCCAGGGTGTCCTGGTGCCAATAGCATGTATGGACACACATGTTTGAACATGGTGTTCGTTATGGACAATCCATGACGAGCACAGAAGTTCAATAACAAAACACAGAAGTTCAATAACAAAACACTACTCAGGTTCAGATTGAAGGGTCGCTTATAAGGCTGCACTTTGTCTGATCCCTCACCTAGGACCTGTTTACCTTGGGTGACCCTACCGGGGGCATGAAGCCCTTGACAACATAGCTCCTAGAATCATTGGGACACTCAAACCTCTCCACCATAATAAGGTGGCAGCCCAGGAAGTGAATGTTGTAGAATAATTAGAGAAAAAAGCTAAATGACTTCAATGACTCAGTGACACCTGAGGAACAGATGAGACSTTTCTTTGACTCTACCTGTCTGCTCTGAACAGTGGTGGCAGAGTGTCGGTATAAAAATGGCGGCTGCCTGCAGTACTGCAGAGACCTTCCAGGGGGCGCTGAAGTTCAGTGTGACTGCGCTGAAGGATTTAAACTGGAGAAGGATGGGAAGAGCTGCACACCAACAGGTATCCTACAGACACACCTGACCTGAGACACACCTGATCTGAGACACACCTGACCTGAGACACACCTGACCTGAGACACACCTGATCTGAGACTCATCTGACCTGAGATACACCTGACCTGAGATACACCTGACCTGAGATACACCTGACCTGAGATACACCTGACCTGAGACTCACCTGACCTGAGACACACCTGACCTGAGACACACCTGACCTGAGACACACCTGACCTGAGACTCACCTAACCTGAGACACACCTGATCTGAGACACAACTGACCTGAGACTCACCTGACCTGAGAAATACCTGACCTGAGACATACCTGATCTGAGACTCACCTGACCTGAGACTCACCGGACCTGAGACTCACCTGATCTGAGACACACCTGACCTGAGACTCACCTGATCTGAGACACACCTGACCTGAGACTCACCTGATCTGAGACACACCTGATCTGAGACACACCTGACCTGAAGAATTTGAACATTAAATGTCTCGTCTTTGTATTCAACTGAATAAAGTTTTACACAATGTCACAACTTCACTGGAATTCGGTTGGCAGTACCTCAGTGGTGCAGCAGTACTGCAGTGCTACTTTGTAGTACTTTGTGTAGTAAGGTGTGGATTGTCTTCCTGCTCAGTGACATTTCCCTGTGGTCGTCAGCAAATGGCTGCGTTGTACAGCAGTCGCTCTCTGTTGGATTCCTCTGAGGACGACAATGATACCATGGAGATGGACTACATGTTGGATTACATCACAGACAAACGAGTTCCTGAACATAAAACCACTCACAGAGGAGTTCCTGAACACAACGCTACACAAAGAGGAGTTCCTGAACACAACACCACACAAAGAGGAGTTCCTGAACACAACACCACAAAAAAAGGAGTTCCTGAACACAACACCACAAAAAAAGGAGTTCCTGAACACAACACAGAGTCGTCGGAGGACTCCAGGACAGTGAATGCAACACACAGCTGGACAGGTGGGAATGAGACGGCACAGAGGCGGCGGGTGGGGGCGGAGATATCTCCTCGYATTGTGGGAGGGAACCTGGAGAAGCGAGGCGGGAGCCCCTGGCAGGTGTGACGTCAGCCATCTTCTTTTACTTCCTGGTTAGAACAAAGCAGCTGTATTTACTRAAAATTAAACAGATTTATTTATTGTGTGAAGGAATGAGACTGTTTTTGTTGGAACTGTTTGTTTGTTCAGGTTCTGATCCACCGGGCTGATGGTTTTGGTTTCTGTGGAGGGACTTTGGTGTTGGACCGATGGGTGGTCTCTGCTGCTCACTGCTTTGAAGAGTCTGCAGACTATGTGACTATAGGTGAGGATACATCATTAATACCTGCACCTCCTGGTGTCAGTAAAATATTCATCATGATGCACACCTTGCACCAGACCAGTCCAGACCAAGTTCTCTGTGGTTTTGTTTAACTCTGTGGTTTTCAGGTAACTACGACAAGAAACGCTCAGATCCTGGAGAACAGGTGATCAAGATCCAGGAGGTCTTTATCCACCCTCATTTCCATGCCTACACCTATGATAGTGACATTGCCCTCCTGTACCTGGCCCAGCCAGTCCTCAGGGGTCCTACAGCAGCCCCCGCCTGCCTTCCAGACACCCACCTGTCTCGATACCTCTTGAGGGTACCCTGATTTCACCTGTTACAGTTTCTGATCCAAGTCCTAAATCTGACCAGAACTTCTATGTTCAGGACGAGTTCCGGGGAGTGGTGACGGGCTGGGGGGCCACCAGGTACATGGGGAGCTCCTCCCGCTTCCTGAGGAAGGTGACGCTGCCAGTGGTGAGCCACCAGGCCTGCAGCGCCTCCACGGAACAGGTGAGCCCGTCCACCCTTCAGTTCTCGACATGGATCTGATTCTTGTCCAGGGTCCAGGACAAGTTCAAACCTTTAATGATTGAGTCATGTGACAGATTTACTGACCCCGCCTCCGCMCGTGTGTCCTGCAGGTGATCACAGACAACATGTTCTGTGCCGGGTACCTGGACACGGACATGGACGCCTGCAGCGGAGACAGYGGCGGTCCATTTGTTGTTCACTACAGAGGGACGTGGTTCCTGACTGGAGTGGTCAGCTGGGGGGAGCAATGTGCCGCTCAGGGGAAGTACGGGGTCTACACACGACTGGGAAACTTCCTCAGCTGGATCAGAGACACCATGCAAAGACTGGACCAGAACAGAACCCTGAGCCTCTGAGGACGAAGGTATCAAATCTGGACCGGACATGGGCTATGACTATCAGACCTGGGTCACAATCAATCCAGGAGGAGCTCCAGGAGAAAGAAAGTCCAGTCTTGTTCCTGCTGGACAAGGAGACAGTCTGATCCAGAACATGGATTGAACCTGAGCAGAACTTAGTGAGTAATGGACCTTGGTGTTGTTGATTTGAGAAACTTTTCAGTTCTGGTTCTGTTCTGTAAAGTTGTTCACTCAGATCCCCACTTTTATCAGGACTGCAGAGTGGAACAAGCCACTTCCTTATTCTTCAATAAGCCCCGCCCATTTTTGGGAGAGCCCAAACTGTAAATCTGCTGACAGAGATGTGTTGGGACTAAAACTTTGCACTTTTTCCAATAGAAATAAACACATGCAGAGAAGATCTAACTGTAAAMTTTATGTACTTGTACAAACAGTACGACATCATGTGATGAAAAATAACCATCGGGTCACAACTTGGTGTGTTTTAAACTCTTTAAACTCRGATATTTCCCTTTATTGTGATTAAAATGTTTAAAAATATAAAAGCAGTACTCAGAAAAATAACAGAAATATTCAAAGAAGAGGAAGTTTTACTGCTTCATACATAAAACAGTTCTGGAGTGAGTGGAGCCTTCAGGATCGGTCAGTATCTAACCTGCAGCACAGTTTACAGCTGTTTACAGGAGCTGAAAGTAAACAAAGTAAAATATTTATAAATATAAACATTTCACAGCTCTGATGAGGAAGCTGAACTTCAGCCTCTGAAGGTTTGATTTTGTTCTTTTACAAACTGTATTACATTGTAGCAGAGATGCTCAGRAAGAGGGTGGAGCCTCTAATCTGGTGCTGGCACACCTGTCTACAGGTAAATGTTCCTCCGTCTCACCACCAGGGGGCAGCATGGACGTGGTTCTGGATCCACTCGGTGTATTTGTCCACGCGGGTGTAGACGCCATACACCCTCTGACTCCCACACTCCTCTGGACCCCCCCAGGACACCAACCCAAACACCGCCCACCTGTGATGCACCTGCATCACAAACGCCCCCCCACTGTCCCCCAGGCAGGTGTCCCGGCCCCCCTCGAAGAAGCCGGCACAGAACATGTTGTCRGTGAYGTTGTAGCTGTTGGAGCGCGAGGCGTAGCTGGACCGGCACTCGTCCTGAGAGACCACCGGCAGCTTCACGTACTGCAGGAGGTCAGGGGTCACCCCCAGGTCAGAGGTCACAGAGGAGAAGGTGGAGGACGCATTCAGGCTGGAGATCCCCCATCCAGCAACCACACCCAGAGAGTTGGGGAACAGTGATGGAGGGTGGTCCTAGGTGAAGACAGAGGTCAAAGGTCATTAAAACAAAGGAAAAAGTGTCCATGAGTGTCTTCAGTTGTAGTCTCCTACCTGTTGGTCAGGTGGTGGCAAACAGACGGGTCGAACCAGCCTGTTTAGCTCCGCCCTTGGGCTCAGCTTCAGCAGGGCGATGTCATTGTTGTAGTTGTGGGGCTGGAAGTCTGGATGGAGGACGATCTGGTCCACAGATCGGCTGGGGGACAGATGCTTGTCCTGGACTCGGTGGAGTCCGAGGAACACCTGCAGGACAGAAGCTCAGACACATTAACCACAGGTGAAACTGTCCTTTGGAGAAAACAGCTCTTCTCCCACCTTGACATGCTCAGGGGACACCGGGACAACGCTGGTGTCCCTCCTCTGAGACCGCAGGTTGTGGGCTGCTGTCAGGACCCAGGACTCGGACAGCAGGGCCCCGGAACCAAACCAGTGGTCCTCAGGTACCCGAGACAGATCCTCTACACTGAGTAGGACCTGCCAGGGGAAAAGACCTGGCTCTGCTGTCCTCCCCCCCACAATCCGCTTCACCTGAACAGGCAGAGCCCGGGACGGACGTCCACAAGCTGGAGGGGACAGATAGGACAACAGGTAAACAGACAGGTAAACAGACAGGACAATAGATAAACAGACAGGTAAATAGACAGGACAATAGATAAACAGACAGGACAACAGATAAACAGGCAGATAACTTAAACTTAGTTCCTGCATCGTCCGGCACATTGGGCGGCAGCAAGACGTCTCCATTGGGGTTGATTTCTTGCAATCACTTCGGCCTCGTCTAGGCTGATATCTAGGGCCTTGAGGTCTTCGTGGAAGGTACTGCACCAATTCTGTCGGACACGCCCTTGTTTCCGTTTCCCCAGTGGTGCTATCCACTGATGGTGGTTTTCGGTAAGCATGTCGCTTTCTGACAGASGACATGTCCAGCAAATCTTAATCGGTGCTCTGTCACAATGTCGTTCAGTGGATGGGTAGCTGTTCTGCAATGGATCTCCTCGTTGGTGATGCAGTCCCGATATGAGACTCGCAGGATCCRTCGTAACCACCACTGTTGGGCAACATTCAGTCTTCATTCAATCTTTGAAGATGTCTTCCATGTTTCACATGCGTATAATGCTGTTGGAATGACGATTGCATTAAAAAGGTGGATCTTTGTCGCCATACTGACGATSGTGGACATCGAAATTGGTCAGAGCTGCTAAAAAACAGCTCCCGCCTTCTCAATCCGGCATGCCATATCATGTTCTGCATCATCATCGTTAGTTATAACACTGCCCAGATATGTGAACCTTTGCACTCCTTCAATCTGGTGTGATCCGATAGTGGCAGGGGTGCCAGCCGTGGTGTATCCAGTTTGCACGATTTTGGTCTTGTTGATGTTAATCCGGAGTCCGACCTTATTTGATCCTCCGTCAAGGCTCTAGGTCATCTCAATGATGCTCTTAATGATTGCCCCAAGAAGCACAATGTCAGCTGCAAAGTCAAAATCCATAAGTCGGACCGGTTCGGGCCACGTTATTCCGAAATCTGCTCAATCCATGGTCCTGTGCAGAATATAATCAATGACCAGAAGGAATARGAAGAGTGAAAGTATACACCCCTGCCTCAAGCCGGTCTTGATGCAAAGAATTCTGTTGTTCCTTCCTCTGTTCRTACACAGCAGCTCGAGTTGAGGTAGAGGTTTTGGAAAACTTGGACAAACTGTTCGGGAATTCCATACGACCTTGTAATTTTCGAAAGCGACTCCCTATGGACACTGTCAAAAGCTTTGGTGAAGTCTACAAAGCTGACCAATAGCCGTTGTTGATATTCCAGGCTCTGCTTGATGATGGTCCGCAGGACAAAAATCTGCTCAACACATGATCAGCAACATCTGAAGCCAGCTTTCTCCTCCCAGAGCTTCTCATCCACCACAGCTTGTTGCCGTTGAAGGATGATACTGAACACCTTGCCCGGGACTGAGAGGCGTGTGATTCTTCGCCAGTTATTGCAGTCTGTCAGGTTGCCTTTCTTGGGGAGCTTGACAATGACACGTTTCCGCCAYTCTTCCAGTACCTTGGCCACTTGCCAGCACAGTTTAAGAAGGTCTGTCATCTCATTAACAAGGTGCTGTATCCCATGCTTGAGCATTTCTGCTGACACCATGTCCAGCCCCGATGCCTTGTTATTCTTTAACAGCTTTATCACCACCATGGTCTCCGCTGTCGTGATCGTATTGATTCTCGCTGCTACATCATCTGCTGGGGTCGGGTCTTTGAAGTCAAAGGTTAATTCAGGTTGTGCTTTGTTCAAGGATCTTTGAAGTGTTCTTCTACCCATTYGCATCTTGCTCTTCTTTGTTCATCAATTGTTTTCTTATTCTTGATGGATGCCCCTTGTCCACTCCTTGCTCCAGTAAGTTCATTGATAAATCTGTAGAGTGTCTTGGTGTTGTTCTTGTCAGCAGCTTCCTGCGCTTTTTGTCCTTTGTGGTCCAACCACTCCCGTTTGTCCCGTCTGCAGCTTCGTTTGACCTTTCTATCCAGCTCTTGGTGTGTTTTCATTGCTTCCACTTGTTCACCTTGCATTCTAGCTTGCCTCTGTTTGGCATCTCGTCTCTCATCAATCAACGTTATGTCCGATCCTTGATCCATCGTTTTTTGTATGACCCTCTCTTCCTGCCGATGACCGTTTCAGCACAGTCAATCACAACATGAAGTCTTCAATAGGAAGGCAGGTAAACAGACAGATAAACAGGTTAAACAGGTAAACAGACAGGTAAACAAACAGATAAACAGATGGGTGAACAAACAGGTAAACAGACAGGAAAACAGGTAAACAGAGAGGTAAAATGGTACACAAACAGGTAAAAAGGTAAATACTCAGGTAAACAGACAGACTGAACAGGTAATCAGACAGGTAAACAGGCAATCAAACAGGTGAACAGGCAATCAGACAGGTAAACAGACAGGTAAACAGTCAGGTAAACAGTCAGGTAAACAGTCAGGTAAACAGAGCTCAAATAAAGATTTAGACATTCAGGGACAGGGACAGACTTGTGTACCTGGCAGACAGTTTGGTACTTCAGTTCCTCCTTCAGCATGGACCCACTCACCTGTCGGACCACACCTGAACGAACCTTCAACACAAACAGAAAGGTTGAAGAAKGAAAACAGCTGATTTAATAAACAAACCAATCAGACACCTRGATTGATTCATCGTGATGACATCAYCAAAGAGGGCGGTTTTACTGTTGCTCAGCAGGACGCCGTCCTCCCTGCAGACGTAGCTAAACGTCGCTCCAAACATCGTGCTGTTGTCACGGTTACCAAACACCACCTCTGCCATGTGGACAGTCCTGGGGGTCCCACAGTCCACCGCTGGGACAGACCAGAGACAGCTGTCAGGAAACGGTCCTCTGAGAGAAGGTCCAGTTCTACAGAACTCATCATCAGCTGCAGCTGTGAGCTGTCAGTCAGCTGGGTTTGATGGACGTCTGTCTGTCTTCTGTCCCTCAGTGTCTGTCGTCTGTCCCTCAGTGTCTGTCTTCTGTCCCTTTAGTGTCTGTCTTCTGTCTGTCTTCTGTCCCTCAGTGTCTGTCTTCTGTCCCTCAGTGTCTGTCTTCTGTCCCTCAGTGTCTGTCTTCTGTCCCTCAGTGT